CCTTAAAGATCTCATTCCTTTGTTTTGATTGCTTTCATAATATTTTTATTTGTATTAACTTATTGTATGTGAAAGCATGGACCGCTATTTTGAAGAAGAGACATTAAGGTATCACATTGATTTCCTGCTACATTTTTCTGAAATCTTGTGTTTGCATTGATTACTCTGTTTTTTCTGTTTTGTTTTGTTTCATTATCTTTAAAACAAATATTATTTCTGTAAACAGTTCTTTGATAGCATTTGTGTTGTCACCTTTTCTCCTTTGCACCTATCAATATTATATTACTTTTCCTTGCGTCATCTTGCAATTGTAGAATTGTTATTTCCTGATTCCTTGTTATTTTTTAAATGATATTTCTTTCTTGTTCACTAGCTGAAATCTTCTTTTGGAAGTCTCAAAGTCTATCTTCATATTCATTCAGGAGATTTTCTAGCTTTTGATGGAATGTTTGATTTTCTAGATATCTGCTTGAATGTGTTTCATGCATTCTACTGTTTTCTTATGTTATTCATGCAAGGTTTACATCTTTTGGAGGTGCTCTTTTATTTTTTTAAATTGTGACTTTTTAGGTGTGCTCAGTATTTTTTATTATGTTTTACATAACTTCTTTTATCTGGGAGATAATTTCTGACCTGAGTAACTTTGCAGCTTCATGGAACTGCTTCTGTACATCAATTGCTATCATTTCAGAAATTTCAGGTTTGTGACTTAGTTTCTTCTATGTCCATGTCATCTAGGCTTGTTTGGGATGGGCTGGTGGTTTGAGACTGCATTTTGCTTTTTTGTTTTGTCATTTTCTTGTATTCCTCAGGTCCCTAATGAAAATTAAAGCCTCCCCTCAGGATGCTGTGCACTGGGTGCCCCTTTAGCACTCCCCATGTGGCTCACTGAATCATCCCAGCTACTTTAGATCACTTGGCAGGGCCCTACCAGTTTCTGAGTGGTGCAGTAAGACTGAATAGTATGTGGAGTATACTGGGCAGGCTCTCAGCTCTTACCACGAGGCACAACAAAGCCCCCTGGCTTCTTGGGGTCTCTGGTTGTCGCTCTACAAAGTTCTGATCAAAGACTCACTGCTGAACAACTAAGAGGCAATCACTGTGGCAGGCTTCAGTTCATAGAGGGCAGCTCCTGTCTTAGCACATGTTGTTTATACAGCACTGTTGCTTTTGCTGATTGTGCTGTATAGTACAGTACTGTAGTTTTATGTTCCACTGTATGTTACAGCACTGTGTGGAATATTTATGTATATACAAAAAAGCAAAACCATTGAGCTGGCATTTCTTGTCACTGTTTCTTCGTTTTCAAGTACAGTACACAGGATGCAGTTCCTCAGCCAACAGCCCATTGGTTTTATGGCACTGGAGCGGAACCCAGTCATTCAATGAGGAGTATCTGTCTCTAGGTATGATTTTCCACCCAGACTAGGCTGTCAGTGGGAGGAAGCAAAGGATCTCAGACACTTTCATTTCATTATGCTTTATATTATGTCCTGGCAGAGGGCACTTTAACTCCCTGAACCTAGATGTCTGTAGAAGTTAAATGCTCCCTCACAGACTGCAAACTCTGTCAACTACGGTCCAACCACTGAGCTTTCACATCTCCACTTTCATTTCATTATGCTTTATATTATGTCCTGGCAGAGGGCACTTTAACTCCCTGAACCTAGATGTCTGTAGAAGTTAAATGCTCCCTCACAGACTGCAAACTCTGTCAACTACGGTCCAACCACTGAGCTTTCACATCTCATCTTTCATACACTGCTGAGTCCCCAATTGTGTTAGTTTATGTTTGATGGGAGGATTGTTAAGCCTTAACCATGCCTGGATTTTGGAAACAAAGTCTATAATTCCGGGAGGAGTGCTGAGATCAGCTTACCAGGTCTCTGCAAGGTAGAGGAGGTACCTTCATGGCTTTGAGATGAGAAAGTCAGGGGTGGTATCTTTGATCTCTAAAGTAAATAAAAACATGATAGTCAAAATTTCTTTTATTATTACAAAGTTTAATCTGTGTCCTGGGCCACCAGATTCTGGTTATAGGAGGTCCATTTCTTATGACTAAGTTGGTGCCAGTCTTACATCACTGTGTATTTTTTGTCTTTTGGTAGAAGAAATTCAACTCACAGCCTCATTGTTGCCAGGAAGGTGCTGTGTGACTGAGTTAAATCCCCAACCCTCACTGTGCATACTTGTAGCCCAGAAAAAACAAAATCGAACTTGCAGACTTTCTTTTTCTGTGTTTGGAAAAGTACTTGTGTGTGTCACATGGGCTGATTACACTGCATGTTTAAGTTCTGAATTTCTAAAGCTATAAAGCAAAATGTTTTTTCCTTCTTTCTGTCTGTCTGTCTCCCTTTCTTTTCTCAATCTCTTCTTTTTCTTCCTCCTTCTCTGTTTCCTTTTCCTCCTTCTCCTCCTTCTCCTCCCTCTTTTGAGACAAGGCCATGTGATTTAATTCAGCGAGATTATGAGCTCACTTTGTAGCCTAGGTTGGCTTTGACTCACAGCAGTCTTCCTGCCTCAGCCTCCCTAGCACTGGGTGCCCAAGTGAAGTGAAGCATTTCTTCCTTTCACATTATAATGTATTTGAAATTAAGACACATCTTAAAACCAATGAATAAACAGGTTACACTTAATGAAAATGTTTAATTTTTTTTTACAACTTGGGTGCTATCAGAGTGGCAAATGCATCTCATGCTCACATTTTCCATTTAAATATGGTAGATGAGGTGGTCTATCAACATTTGAACCTACATCTCTATATGGCCTTTCATAAACTGGAGGGATAGCTTGCTAGGTTTTGAATAGTCCTTTGATCACAAGGAGCAAATATAGAGATTCTACTTCTTTTCGGGCATGTACTTTCCACCCAGACTAGGCTTGTACTTTCGGGCATGTACTTTACAGTCCAGGCCTCTTGTCTTTGTATAGAATCCATAAATGAGTGGAAACCTGAGGTTGGCCTCACTGTATCACAGTGAGTGTGTGCTTGAGAGTGGGGTGCACTTTCCTAGATGCTGGAGAGGCATGTGGCTGCTGTCCATGGTTGCCAGAGAGGCCTCTCTGGCCCCTGGTATCTTTTGTTTCCATCTGCTCACTCTTCCTTTCTTTCCTCAGCTCCTATTGCCTCTCAGCCTCCCCCATGAAGTATCATTATTCTATGGGTTTCCAATTGCTGCTGTATCCACCTTATCCATGCTATGGTACAGAGTTCTCACAACAGCACATAGGGATGATCTTATAGTTCTGCAGGCCAGGATTCTGAGAGGTCTCAGGGTTGAAGTCAAGGTGTTGGCAATTGCGCTGCTCTCTGGATTCTCCTGGGAGAAACTCATCACCTTGCTTTTCCTACTAGTTCCTCCTAATCTACTTCTGTCCCTTTCTGTCATCAATGCTGTCAGTGCCCAGTCAGGTTCAGTCAGGTGCTTCTCGGTGGCTTCACTTGGCCCACTTATTCTGTCCTGGTGGTTCACCTCAAAGGATGCTTGTCACAATAGCTGTACTGCATAAATCAGGAAAATTTCCCTAATTTTAAGGTCAGCCAATTTGTAAATTTATTCCCACCTATAACCTAAGATTCCCTTTGCTGGGCCGCTGACTCACAGAATGTGGGGAAGAGAGGGAAAGTGGTTTTTCAAGAAGTTTAGTTCCCTCTCACCACTTTCTTTTTAAAATTCTGCACAGTGGGCAGTCTTCCTTGTCCATTGCAATCAGATCTCCGAATGCAGGGAGAATTTTAGAAAACCATTTGTTGATAAAACTTGACCCATTTGGGCTAATTCACTGACAGTATTTGTTCTGTGTTAATGTGAAACCAGAGAGCTTTTATTTATTGTGCTTAGAGGAATATTTTTACATCTTCCTGTAGAAATATTAATTTCTGTTTACTGGCTGCTTATCAAGGGGGAAAGAACATAATTTACAATAGAAATGCTGTGCGAGAGTTCTAAAATATAAGAAATTCTTAATTATAGAACCTACGATACCCTATAAATTAAATAAGAGAATGTAGTTCTGTTATCAAATCAGTTGCCAGACTCCATGCAAGAATTAAAATGAGTTTCAAAAACTAAAGGCCATATTACTAGAATCTGGTGATGTCTTTGGTTCTACAGATTCGACTGACATTTACTTATAACTTCTCATAGTCTTGGAGCTATTGTAGGCATTGAGACTATATAGGAGAATTAGATCCAATGGTTTAACATTTCTGTGAGATACACTGTGGTCAAGCAAATGACAAAAAGTTCATAAAGGAATAACATAAGTAATTATTGGCTTGAACATAGTTCTTAAGATTTTCAGCTAGTAAATGGGCTTTTACCTGAGATTTTATGACTAGCAGGACAGATAGATCTAGGTTCTTGCCATTTCTGTGGTTATACAGTGAGGTTTCATAAAGTGTGACAACACAACTCCCCAGTCAGGCTCATTTCTGACAGACACAAGGCAGAAAAGACAATAGGACATCCTTAAAAGCACCGGTGTTTTCCATATACCACATGGTTTGGGGGCCCATGTAATGCTAGTATCATGTACAGGTGAGTTGAATTTGAAAGGAAACCCAGAGCTGCAGACAGAATGGAAGTGGTATGGAATGTTTTCTAACCACATTAGTGCACAGTAGGTCCTCAATAGTCATGTGACAACTACGGATGAACTGAGACCTCCCTCCTAGAGACTCGCTATGTTGAGACAGATGTTCTTGTTGCCTGCTGCATGTCTGAACATCACAGCACTATCCTTTATTCCAAAACTGCATTTATATTTCAGATTTGTTTCCTGCTTGTTCTCAGTTGCTGTATGAAGACGAGATCCTTTTGGCTTTCCACACTGCAAATATTCTTTAAATCAAAACCAAAATACAGCACTGCAAATCACTGAACCTTTGCATCTTTGCTATCCTGTTATAGTTAATTGTCTATATGTGTCAGAGTCCTATATTATAGGAAAACAATTTCATTTTATACTTCCATCTGACCGGTATTCAATAAATGAGGTTATTTTCCTGGAGGAATGAACTTTTTCTTCAGTCTCCACATGGCTGACTTCATCTCCTGGTTCCGCAGGGTGTAGATCATGGGGTTCAGGACAGGGATTATGATCGTGAAAGTGACATGGATGGGCTTATCCACTGGGAGGGCAGTGAAGGGCCGGGCATAGACATAGATGCAGGGCACAAAGTGCAGGGTCACCACCATGATGTGAGAGGTGCAGGTAGAGATGGCTTTCCTCTTGCCTTCACCTGTGTGTGACCTCAGCATCATCAGGATGACAGTGTAGGACACGAGAAGGAAGATAAACCACAGTGTAGTGACCAAGCCATTGTTGGAAATCATGAGGATCTCCAGGGTGACAGTGTCAGTGCAGGCAAGTTTGAGGACCTGCGGGACATCACAGTAGAAAGTGTCAAGAACGTTGGGTCCACAGAAGGGGAGTGGGAGCAAGAGGGCAATCTGCACGATGGAGTGGACAAAGCCCCCCAGCCAGGAAGACACAATGAGGGCTGTGCACCACCCCCTGCTCATGATGGTTACATAGTGCAGGGGCCTGGAGATGGCCACATAGCGGTCAAAGGCCATGACTGAGAGAGAAAAAATGTCTGCACCACCAAGGAAGTGGAAAAAGAACATCTGGGTGATACAGCATTGGAAGGAGATGGTCTTTTTCCTTGCAAGAAGGTCTACAAGGGCCTTGGGTGTGGTGATGCTGGAGAAGCAGATGTCTAAGACAGAGAGATTGCGGAGCAGGAAGTACATGGGATTGTGAAGGTGGGAGTCACAGGTAACTGTCACCACAATGGCCACATTTGCTAACAGTGTTGCCACATAAACCATAGATAAATAGAAGAATAAGAGTAAGCTCACCTCTGGAGACTGGGTAAGTCCACAAAAAATAAATTCTGTTACTGTGGTATGATTTCTGAGGGCCATTGGTTGTTATTTGTTGTCCATGCACACCTTTGAAGCAAGAAGTGTTACCAACACAGTGAAATAAAGCAGGGTCATCTGTTCTGCTGAAATGCACCATGCATCAAAATATATTTTGCTACTCTTTGAGATCCTTGGGAAAAATCACAGAATTTTATGTGCCTCAGCTCCTTCATCACAAGCAGCTGTAGGTTGGACTAGATCATTTACTTTCTTACTCTATTGCTCAGTGCCCATGAATTCTGTTACACCCACCAGTAGATGATGTCAAGGAAGGAGATCTTAGGAAAGTCTTTGTCTTAGTAGTTCTGGGATACTTATACCTTTGTGAATCAGAGAAGCTCTGACTTCATTCCCTTCCCATGTAGTTTGTATGACTTAAAAGGTGTTGGGCTGAATTATTCACTTACAACATGATAGGAATCCATTTAAACAGCACATTTACAGCCTTAAAATTAACTGTAGCCTTTAAACATTGTTATGACAGCATCAGTCTGAGATTCAAAAGGAAGATATTATTATTCCTGCATCAGTAATATGAAAACACACAGGAGAGGAGCAAGATGATTTCCAAAGATAGAAAAAACATTAATAGCAGAGAGGTGAGATAAATTTCTCCTAGCTTCTCTTTCTAGGATAAATGTGGTAGTCCCCTGCCTACCTTTTCAGGACTCTTAAATCCACCAATAATTGGTGTAAGGAACTCTTCACAGAATTTGACAACTCTTTAGTTCTAGATCCCATTACCTCTTTCATCTCCTCTCTAAATACTATATACTTTTAGGCCATTGATGTTCTGTGACCCTTCACAACCTATGTCATGTGAGTGGTGTCTCTTCCTCTTCTCAGTGTGTAAATTTCATTTTACGGACACTCAGGAGTAGGATAGTGATGGAGCTTGGCAGAAAGAAGATACAAAGAACATGAGAAATGGCAGTATTCATGATGACTGCAGTTCAGGCTTGCATACAGGAGAAAGGAGATGGGAAGTGAGGCATGCAGGAGAAAGGGGATGGGAATGCAGTCAGTCAGTTAAAGCCAGATTTTCTTCTTTCCTGTCTTACAAGATTTTATGAGTGTCTCGATGGGATACTACTGAGCCATAAGGAAGGTTAAATTTCAGTTATTTATAAGAAAATTTATGCACCTTGTGATCATAATGCTAAGTGACATAATGAGACATATCAAGTGGGATAATGCATGGTTTGTCTTATGTGAGAAACTCAAAATATGAAAAATTTAAAGAGCAAAATGAGAAATAGATGAGAAGGAGCAGAAAAGTTGACTTTGTTTAGCTGTGAAGAGAATCTGGAAATGGTGTCAGCAACATGGAGGAGAAAGAAAGGGAGGTAAAAAGATCAGGATGTGATATATCTGCATGTATTATATATACATGATTATTTTCAAAATTCCCCATGAGGAATGCATTTATTAGTGTTGCAAACATATGCTAATGAAAAAGGGAAAATGTCAAGTAGTGTCCCTGCAGCTTGGAAGCTGCATTTCTTTCCTGAGTTCAGACCCTGACTCACCTCTGCACAAGCGGGAAAAACTGACTGTTTCCCGTTCCTTGGAGTTTGTAGCTTCCCTTGTCCTAGGTGGAGGAAGGACAAGATCTAGCAGAGAGAATTTTCACTGTGGTATGCTTTCCCTCATTGGGTGGGGATCCAGTGATCTCTTGTTGTTTGAAAATGAAGTCATGAGAAACCATGCTTCTGACAGGCTTAAGTGTCCCAGAGAGCTGGAAGGCAGGCCTGGGGTGGGGCTGCCTTTGTCTTTCAGCCCAATACCTTTCCAGCTCTGTGACCTCAGTGCTTTTTGAAGAGACTTATGATGGTGGCCATGACACAAAGAAAGAGCTTTCCCTGGCCTAAGCATCCACCTTGCTTGGTGCTTTTGCACAGGCACATGGCTCTGGATTCAGCACCTAGCTGAGGAACATTGGCCTGAGCAGTATACATGACAAAAACCCAGGCATCATAGTGGTAAGGAAGCTGTGCCTCTTGGCCTGTTCCTCAGGTCATTCTGCCCATGATGGTGCAGCCACTCCCCAGGCTCACTGCCTAGGAACTATCCTCACTGCAAACAACCAGGATGTGGTAGAAAATTACCCACCCTTCATGTCCTCTGTTTCCCTCACTTGTCTCAGCATGCTCTGTCTTCTCAGTCCTCAGTTGCATCATCTCCCCTTAAATTACTTCCAGAGCTCTCTAAATGCTTTATTTCTGCTCAGTCTATACTTACATAGCTCTTTCTCTCTGTTTTATCCACAGATATCATTGAACCAGCAAAGGGTCTGTTAACCTTCCCTGTGAAACTTTTAAATGGTTTTATAGCACTGGCAGAATAAAAGTTAGGCTTCTTTTATAACAGCAACTGAGACTTCCCCTATCTAGGGCAACAACCAGGGCCCCATTTCCTTGGAGCCTCTGTTTCAGTTGATCAAATGTACTACAAATTAAGGGAAAGTCACTCTTTAGGATCTGATTCCATGCTTCCCCCTGCCTACCATTTCCTCCCTGCTCTCACAGTCTCAGGCCCATCCTCTTGGCAAATGCCAGTCTTCAACATTCATGTTCAAACTGCCTTCCTCTATGAGGACTCCTTCAGGAAGTATTCTGTCTACTTTAAAAGTTTCCTTTCAACTATTCTTGGTTCTTATGGGATTCTGTATGAACTTTAAAATCAGTTCAGAAGTTTCTACCAAAGCAACTGCTTGAATTTTGTTTGGATTGAGTTAAATCTATAGACAAATTTGAGAAGCATTTTCATCTTGGCAGTATCAAGTCCTGCAAAGTATACGCAGGACCTCCCTCTCCTTCTGCCTCATTCTCTCCCTCTGCCGCCTCTTGAAATTCTCCCTGATTCCTAGAACTAACATCTTTCAGAGCCTGTATCAGTGTCTTGAACTAACTTCATGTCCTTCTCCTTAATTCATATAATTTGCCTACTAACCGTCAAGTTTATCCTGTTTTTTCACTGCTTTAACTGCCTTAATGTGGGAGCCTTACTTTGTGTGGGGTATAGTATAGGTGCTCAAGAAAGTCTTTAAATCAAGAATAACTTGAACTTGGTGAGCCCCTCTTGACAGATAACCATCGACACAGGGGTCTGTGTGAGACAGATCTTCAGATACAAGCTGAGAAATTATTTTGGTCTTACCTGTCAATTGGCCATTTGCTTCTTCACAGATGGAGTAAATATGATAACGTCACTAAATTCTCTGGCACATAGCAGGATTTCTGTGGTCTTGCTCTCTGTCTTTCTTCTGAAAACTGTATCTTCTTTGGAAAGTGAAAGGTTCCTTATGTAGACAATTGTGAAATGCACCATGCTTCCCCATCAAGAGACAGCTTCTCATTGTACCAACTTGATTTGTTTTGTTTGAATCAAGGTGGGTGAACCAGGCGAATGGAGTAAAGGCTTCAGCCCTGGCTCTGTGGCTTTGGGAATGAAAATATCTCTGAATCAGAGGAGAGAAAGACCAGAAAACCAGGGTGGGGATTCTGCTAAAGCTGCCTCTGAAGGCCCCACAGTTTACAAGTGAGTTTGCTTGTTTAAAGGAAGCTTCTTTTTGATAGCGAGAGGTTTAGATTCTGCCAAGTAAATCCTAAACTGAAAATCTGCACCACATAGGACTCATTCTTTTTTTCATTCAGAAACTTCCTTCCCTTACTCTGTGACTCAATCTCTGTGAATCTTCTTCTGAGAGTGTGGTTTACTTCCCAATATATGACATCCACTTCTTTATTTCTTGTTATTAGAGTTTTCAACTATTTCTACATTTTCTTAGACACCTGGCACATTGTTTTGTGGTCATTACATTCACATATAATCCATAATATCTGACTTTCTGCCACTTCAGTATCCTTACCTAAATCCTCCTGTATCGAGGAATAAATTTACACCCCGGAGACTGGCAGCTTGGCCTCAGAGTACATCATGGAGGGGAAGCACTGTGTGTGAAGGTGATGTTCTTTGGATTATCACACCAGACTTCAGTGTCATGTCTTTAGCCTTCATCTTGGAAGGGCGAAGCCATCATGATTCCTTTGCCAGGTTAAAAGTGTCCCTACCAAAAAAAGCACTTGTCTCTCAGGCCCAAATCTCATGTGAGAATTAGCAAATGGAATTTGGATTGAGCCTGGAAATAGAATGGACATTGTTGATTGTCAAGAGTTGCAGTGAGAGTTATTAAATTGTTTACTACCACAGGCAAGTACACTCACACACACACACACACACACACACACACACACACACACGCACATGCATATCTCTGCTTTCCAAATTTTTGCAAGACCCCAGAAGACAGAGTTGTAATCTGTGGTTCTCTGAGTTTTGGGGGAACTGGTCTCTGGAAATAGCTAATGTTAGATAACCAGGCATTCTCAGTGTGATGTGTCCAAAGGGACGACCACTGGTTCTGAAGGAAGAAAATGCCTGCTAGCGATTCTGGTGATGTGTGGCTCTTTGAATGTCCTCAGTACATAGAGGGTACACAATACACCTTTGATATTAGATTTCCTTGTAGGTAGCAGTTGAGAAAAATATTTCATAAAACACCTTGGGTAAGCGCCTGCCTTGAAAGCAGACAGTCGTGAGTTCCATCCCTGGTACCGATAAAAAGGAAAAAGACAAAAAAAAAAAAAAAAAAAAAAAAAAAAAAAAAGAAAAGAAAAGAAAAGAAAAGAAAAGAAAAAAAGCACCTTGGGGAAATAATGAGGGGAATGATGGATGCATTGTCACATTGACCTCTGTTTTGTAAGACTCATGGTGGATCATGGATGTGTGTCATGTGTCAACTTCCAACCTCTTCTGTGTCAAATATTATAGCAATCTGACTTTGCAGAAGCATGCCTAATTGAGCACAATTTGCTGAGCTTGTTTACTTCTCTTGGCCCATTTTTATGTGAATATTGAAGGATAAATGATGGAACTGGAGGAAAGCACCGAAGGAGAATGGATATTCATCATTTCTCTATGTATCTGCTCTCCTGAAA